CACTACCAACTCTTTACAATTGCCTGTAAACTGGCACAATAAACATATTATAATATCTGTCTTATAGTCCCAACAAAATTGTTGGCTTTTAATTAACAACAGACTGGCGCTAGGAGGTGGGGCATATGTAAGACGGACTGGCGTCCTTAGCACGACTCTAGGGTAGAACACCTCTTGCGAGCTTGCGGAATAAGTTTTTCAGTTTCGTTTGGGGACATAAATTCTAGCGCTGTTTGGATACCCATTTTGACCTATTCTGTTTAAATCAAGAGCTCAGTTTCTCCGGCACTCAGACACACAGTTTTTTCATTCAGTCGATATATGCTCTGTAGGCGAAATTTCGGGTTTTCAACACTTAAATGTAAGCCACAGCTCCCTGACGAAGAGAGCAATTCTGCGCTCTGGAAAGCGTCAGATGAGTTGTTATAGAAGTACTTGGGTAACCAAGCATTCATCTCCCAGACTAGCACCTTTGTATGACATAAGTTATATAAATTGGCGAGCAAGGTACATTCGGTACTAAAACCCACAAAGTTAATAAGAATCTTGACACCTCTCACCGAGAGTTTATGAACCAACTTTAACTTTTCACAGAATGTTCCTATGCGGTGCATGTAATATTTGTATATCTTGTGAGAACAGGAGATGTTTCCTATAAAGAGGTCGAGTGACTGGCCCCACGCCCTTTTTAGGTCTGTGGAGCAAACGGTTCAAGTTCAGCTGCTTAGTCTACATATTGATTCATAAACTCCTGTTGCCCCACTATATGCTCGGGGGGGATAGGGTTGCCAACTTACTAAACTCTCCCTTCTGTTGAAAATTTGAACACTTCGGAATACTATGCAGGTTGACTTTCTGGACATCTAACATCGCTCTAGAACCTGCTTTTTAGTCCAACGTGGGGGGGGGCATGCTGACGATTTATAAATGCAAGTCGGTACATCTATCTTCTGACCTACAGACCCATTATGTGCCTTTAGTTAGCCGCTTCACTAGCGCGAGTTTTAAGAGTATGTGTCAGTCATTTTTTGGTGTAAGACAGTTTGCACACCCCAGGTATAATTTCGTCATATTTAATTGTCGAGCAACATTCTTTCGAACAGGAAAAACCAAACCTATTTTCCTTTGCAAGTTTAATCCACCGTAGTCTATCGCATGCGTAGACTGCCTAACTTTGTACCTTAGGCTAGTTTCACAAAACAAAATTTGCGCATACGATGCAAAAATAAATATAGCTTCTGCATTAGAAAAAAAATAGTTTCTTAAGGCCTCATCCGAATGCAAGTGTTTATTACAAAAAACGGTGATGTTTTGCTGTCAACTACGGGCACATGTGCTTCTACGGGTGGTGGCCTTATAAAATAAATACAAGAGACGGCTAAAGATTTGAAACATTGGCGTCAGACGTGCAACCTTTTGCCTTTTCAGGGTTCGCTACATGTCCCTGCTTCCTCTGTAGG